AAAAATAATAGTCATATAAATCAAGCTTGTAGTTAATCACTCCTTTGATCAATCCTTATTTTATCAAAGTAAAAAGTGAAGCCAATCTAGCATGAGTTTGTCTCATGTGCCACAACATAGTAATGTCAAAAGAATCATCAACAACAATAGTCATTCCAGTCATTGTACTACCTTGCAGATAGTAAAGATTTTGATCATGAACTCCATTCATTAAAATCGTTGCTCCACGACATGTCTCAAAACACCTCCCTTAGTAACTAACTTATAGCCCTTAGACTGTAAAGTCCCAAGTGACATCAAATTCTTTTTGATATCTGAAACATGTTTAATGTCAGCTAGCTACACCATAGAACCATTATGCATCCTGATGAAGATACTCCCTACACCAATAAAACTACAAGCTTGATCATTGACTAAAATCATTGCACCATTATTTAGCTCTTTGTATGTAAAGAACCTCCCCTTGATGAGGACAAATGTGATAAGTAGCACCTGTGTTTAAAATCCAGCATGAATCATCTGTAAAAAAAATTTGAGAAACTATATTTAACAATTCATTTTAATCCTCCTCTTCACATCCTTCCAAGGGAATATTGGCTTCCGGCTTAGATGCAAGAGATCTTAAAAGCTTTCTAGCCTATATGTTGTTAAACTTTATGTTTGAGAGTATTTTGAATTAAAATTAAGGTTTAATTATAATTACATTTGTTATTCTTAATATTATTTAAGTCATTTTAATTTTTACAATAAGAAATGAGAGAGGTCGGCTGGGCAAAGGGGGCAAAAGATACTCTGAGCGTATGGGGGTATGCGGCATTTGCCCACTCTCATGTACACCTAGTTTTGGCCATGGAATCACTTTATCTTCATCTCCAACTACCTCATCCAAATTTAACAGAACTATTACTAGCTTTAAGAATTCATTCAAGTATTTATCAATAGTAATATTCATCAATAGTAACCCCGCGTCTCCTATGAAATTTGTAGAGTCGACGCTTCATACAAAGACAATTCTCCATATTTCCCTCTAGAAGTCTCCATTATTACCCCCTTTTTGTGCTCCTAGGTCAAGCAATTGTGAAATAAGCCACAAACATTCCAGTTCATCTCCTACCAATCTCTCAAACAGCTTCTTAGGACATTCCTTGATATTTTATGACTTCCTCTAGATTCAAAGTGCACAATGCATTCATCACCTCACATCATCACATGCCAAAGTTCCCTTTATCATCGAATTTCATCACAGCAATGTTGATGGGATACGTAACCACCTGATGAATCCACATTTCTACCACCATAGTGGATGTTGAAGAACCATACATCATGTTATCATTCGTTGTTATCCCTCTTGGAATTTCTTTCAAAAAAAAAAATCCTCTTACAGAATAACTAAAAAAAATAAAAAAACAAACAAAAAAACTTTCAAAAAATGAAAAAAATTCAGAAAATAAAAATTCTTTTTTTTTTGTTTTCCTTTTACCATTCCCTTTGTTTCTTTCTTTTTTCCTATTTTCCAAAGCTTTTGCTTTCCCAAAATTCTCTTATTCCAAAAACCAATTTCCCTTTGGTTAAAAAAGATTCTTTTTTCACTATTTTTTTTTTCCTTTTTTTCCTTCCATTACCCTCCCTATTCCAAGCCTTCTCTTGCATGACATATGTTGGACCTCACTAGAACTGCCGCCTTCCATGCACTGGGTCTGCCAGAACCCATGTCGGATTGTCGGACTACCGGAGCTGCTAAAATAGCTACCTGTCACAATCGGAACCACTGCAGCCTCCTGTTTCCACGATCCACGCCGATTTTTATAACCAAGTCATCGCCTTATAGATGATCAACGCTTGTAGCAAAAATCTCTGGCAACATAAGTCAGGTTTGTTGTTGTCAAATTAGAACCAAGTTCTGATTATGCACCTGAAGCTTTGATACCAATTTTTTTTTGCAAAAATAATGGAGAAACTAAGAAATTCACTTAATAACAATCAGACACAAATAATTTATGTGATTCGAAGTTGAATTGATTTGCCCACATCCACAAGAGAGAGACTTCAGTTTATTAATGGGAGAGAAAAAATGGCTTAGGGTTACAACTTTTGCACTTCTCACCATAACTCACTCATGAACCCTAAGTCTCTTTTATAGTGAATAATTAGGTCATACAAATATATAGAATGAAAAGACCAATTTATTTCTAATTAAAAAAAAAATCCATAAGAACAACAAGTATTACTATGGTGGAGGTTTAACATTAGTAAATTTGGTTGTACTATCTTTAATAATTCTACTATCTTCATTCTTTTATGCACCCAAGAAGAAATATTATTTTACATTCAGAAACTGAGAAATTTGATGAAAAATTTGTCTCTTCAAAAGAACTATTAAAATGGCATGTTCAAAGACTGCAAATAATAATATTAAATTGTTATTATTAATTCAAAGATTCATTATGCTTTAATATTATTTTCCTCATATTATGCATTATAAGATTATCATCTGGCATGAAAGAATGTTATATTACTAAAATAGATAATAATAAATATTATTGAGACATTGACTATAATACATCCAAAACAAACATTAAATAATGTTTAATCATTTCTTACACAAATATAAATATACACTCATAGATATGTACATCTATATATATATATATATATATAGATGTACATATCTATGATATATAAGATTTTGAGGGTAGCGGTTGATGCTCTGCTATGGTTTTGGGGGAGATGAGGCTTCCTTGTTTTCGAAGGATTAGGGGATACTGGGAGTGTCAAGTTTTCTTCCATCTAGCCATCTGGTTACTTTTTGGAGGTCAGTTGTTGTGTTTGTTGTGTTTCTTTGCTTCCCGAGCTTTTAAGTTTTTCAAAAGAGTATTATTCCATTGGAACCTGACCTTCGAGTCCCTTGCTGAGGTGAAGGGTTTTTACTATGGCTCGTCCATTAATCTTGAAACTAATGTGCAATGGGCTCAGGCCACCTATGCTAGGGTGGTAGGCAATAGTAGGGATTCCCTTAGTGACCCTAACTTACTGGTGTTTCCCGAAGCCTTCAATGACATAGTGGTTGGCAAGGGGTCATCTCCTTGCATCCATCTGGTGGGACTGAGGGAGGGGGAACCTGCCTCTTTCTTTTCTGTTGAAGAGCTAAATGATCTGAACAAGGAACTTCAATTTACTCTCATTGGGAAATTAACTTGGGCCACCCAAAAATGGATTTAGTGAGAAACTATTTTGATTCGCTGCACTTTATTAGCAATTAGAAGCTGGGGTTACTTGATGGCAGACATTTGTTAATCCAACTCTCAACTGAAGAGCATTATGCAAGGGTGTTTGCCAAGTAGTCCATAACTTTTGGGGGGCAGACATAAAGATTATAAAATGGACTCCTGAGTTTGATGCTAGTAAGGAACCACCTGTGGTTCCCATATGGTTCAAATTGCCAGGATTGTCATTGCATCTATTTAAGCTGAATGCCCTATTCAATATTGGGTGTGCTATTGGAACCCCATTGAATGTTGATGCTCATACTTACAATAAGGCTAGGCCTGCTAGTACAAGAATCCTCATTGAAAGGGATATAACTCTCCCTGAAATGAAAAGGATATAGATTGGGAATGATAACCAAGGATTTTGGCAAGAGGTGGTTATGGAACATAAGCCATACTATTGTCAACATTGTAGGATGTTTGGACATACAAAGGAAAGGTGCTACAGACTTCATTCCGCACACAAAAGAATCCAACAGATCCCACCTAAGGAAGTTGCTGAAAAAGTAAACCATAATAATCCAGAAGGAGGAAATGAGATGGAAAGTCATGAATCAACTTAAGTAATAGTTGTTGAAAACTTAACTTCACATTGGAACAATATGGAAAAGCAAAATGAAGTTGAACAGAGCCCAAAAAACTAAAAAAAACAAATTGAAGAGAAGGAAAACCCCCCTCAGACACAACAGCATGCTAGAGGAGAAAATAGCAAGGTTGTTCTCAGTATGGAATTTGATTCAAGGACAGAAATGCAGTAGGAGGAGACCACAACACCAACTGAAAGTTTAATGGCAGACATCAGCAAACTCTGGGAAACATATTGGCAACAATAAAAAAATAAGAAAAATAAGAGTTCAAAGATGGAAGAGTAGAAAACAATGGTGGTTCAAGGCAAACAGACAAAGGCAAAGGGATCTATCCAAACAGAACACATTTCTCATCCTTTGAGGGCAAGGAGCAGATCTAGATCCCAACCCTCAAGTCAAACATCCCATTTACATGATTATTTTTTTATGTTGGAACTTAAGGGGGATAGCTAACTCTCCTTCCCTTAAAAGACTAAAATATCTCAACAAGAAATACAAATTTTGGTGCATGGTCATTTTGGAACCGATGGTTCATAATAATAAACAAAAATATGAAAAAGCTTTACTAGGTTTTTACCTTATTCAGAATATAAATAATAGGATATTTTGCAGAAAGGAGATGCAATGCCAAGTCTAACTCAACCATTCTCAGTTTATACATCTTTCATTTAACATGGGAGGAAGGACTGGGCATGCAACTTTTATTTATGTTGCTTGTTCTAGTTCAGCAAGATAGGCTCTGTGGGATGAATTGCATAAAATCCAGGACCAAACTGACACTGCTTGGATAGTGCAGACCGCCTACTCTTACTAAAATGACTGATTTTAATGATAACATTTAGAAATGTGGCCTCTTTGATTTGGGATGCAATGGTCCCAATTTTACTTGGAGGGGGGGAATCTGTGAGAAAGACTTGACAGAATGCTTGCTAATAATCACTAGATTCAATCATTTTTACAGACAACTATAACAACCTCAGCTTGGTTGGGTCTGATCACAGACCTTTGGTGGTAACCATCTCAGCAAGGTGCACAACCACAGTCACCCTTTTAGATATCTAAATGTTTGGTCAAGCCATAAGGATTTCATCAAAATTTTGATGGAGAATTGGAGAGACTGTAATCATTCAAATCCATTAATTCAATTATGGAAGCTTCAGAAAAAAGTTGGCAAAGTCCTAAACCAGTGGAGCTAGGATGCTTTTGGGATCTACTAAATGGGGTGGAGAAGGCAAAAAATGAGCTGATACAAATGGAGCAAGGTCATAGTAATGGGCTAGTAGATGAGGCCTCCCTTTTGGAAGAAAATGAAAAATTGATTCTTGCTATCAAGTGGGAAGAACTTTTCTTAAAACAAAAGGCTACCAAAACCAGGTTTAATGAGGGGGACAGAAACTCAAAGTATATTCATGCTTGCATCAAACATCAAAGGAAGTGCAACACCATACATTTTATTAAAGATGATTATGGCAATTGTATCAAGGATGAAAAAGGGATTGCTGATAGTGCAGTGCTATATTGCCAGAACCTCATGCAATGTCAACAGGCTGAAAGGGAGCATGTAGAAAGTAGCTTATTCAATTCTGATAATGAACACACTACCAACTTGAATCTAGCTGAAATCCCAGAGGAGGAAATCACACAGGCCTTACATACAATTGATAGTGCCAAAGTTTCTTGCCTTGATGGATTTACTGCTGACTTTTACAAGAAAGCTTGGGAGGTGATTAAAGAAGATGTTATCAAGGCAATTCAGTACTTCTTCAAAGGAAACACATTACCTCAATATTTTAGTCATGTTGTCATAACTTTCTTACCCAAAACCTCTAAGAAAGATAAATGGAATCAGTACAGAACTATTAGTTTAACTAATGTTATCAGCAAGACAATCAGCAAAATTTTGGTGAGGAGGATCCAATTAGTGCTCCAATTCATTGTCAGCCAAAAACAAGCTGCCTTTGTGAAGGGGAGAAGCATTAGTGATAATGTTTTTCTTGCACAAGAGCTTCTATTGGATCTGGAGAAACCTTGCAGGGGGAACATGATTTACAAGTTGGAATTAAAAAAGGCATATGATATGGTAAATTGGGAATTCATTATGGAAATATTGAGGGCTAGAGGATTTACACTTAATTCCTGCAGGATTATTAAAAGATGGTTAGAGGGCAATGCAAATTCTATCCTTATCAAAGGGAAATCTCATGGGTTTTCAAGGCAACAAGAGGACTGAAGCAAGGAGATCCCCTATCACCAGCCATATTTATCTTGGTTCTGGATTACCTATCTAAGCTGATTAATAAACCAGAAAATAGGAAGAGCCAATATATATACCATAACAAAGCAAAAAGGGACATCAAACATCTCATTTATGTTGATGATATCCTAATATTCACTAGAGCAAACAAGGCTATCATCAAACATCTAAATGAATGCCTCAAGAAATTTTAACAAACTTCTGGACTGTAGAAAGTTAGATTTTGTTCAGCAAAAAAATTCCCATTGCCTATAGACACTAGACCATAGACCTCACTGGCTTCACATCCATGGAATGCCCCTTTAAATATTTAGGGGTGTACCTTACCAGGGGGGAGAACCAAACAAGTGTAGTTTGATGAGATTGTGGACAAGACAAATTCTACACTTCAAAGCTGGGAAAGTTCTTTCTTACCTAATGGGGGCAGAATTACACTTCTTAAAAGCATCCTTACAACTTTCCCAATGTATATCCTTCAAGTTGCAATAATGAAGAGAAGCACACAACTGTTTTTGGAGAGAACTTTTAACAGATTCCTGTGGACAGGACAAAGAAAACAAATGATGTGGGCTAGTTGGCAGAAGGTAGCTAAACCCCTCTATGCTGGTGGACTTGGATTCAAAGGCTTCCAACAGCTACAGCAAATAAGCATCAGTAGACTGTGGATAAAATTCAGACAAAAGGATATCCTTTTGGGCTGAATTCATGCATGTCAAGTACTACAGAAATGATCATCCAAACATTGGGACCAAAAAGCTGGGGGACTCTAGAATCTGGGGGAAAATGCTCAAAGTTAAATACAAAGCTGAAAAATTATACATTTGGGAGCTGGGACAAGGCAACATTAGCTTTTGGCTGGATAACTGGTGTCCTTATGAGTTCAAAGAACCTCTAGTGGAAAGTCGGGAATGTAACTTGCTGGTTAAGGATTGTTGGAATGAACAGTCTTGGTCTGTAGAGATTCTGCAAATCCACCTGAAGGAAAACTCTGTGGGTTTAGTTACCACAGTACAATTTGATAGGTCAAAAAGAGATAAGGTGGCCATCATCTCCAATTCAAATCAAAGCTTAGCCAAAGCCATATATAAAAAGCTTTACCAGTGGGATGCTAGGCCTGGAAGTGATTTATTGTGGAACAAATACTTAACCCCATCCATGTCCTTTTTTGCTTGGAGGGTTATGAATAATTTGATACCTACTGATGACATATTGGAATTAAAAGGACTGAAAGGTCCTTCTATGTGTCTATTTTGCAGAAATGATATGGAATCTTTAAACCACTTGTTCTTCAACTGTAGTTTTTCCAAAAACGTTTGGAGTTCTTTGCAACCCAAATTTCATGTCAACACAATAAATTTAGGTTGGAGGACCCTAAAAGTGAGCATGACAGAATGGAATAAGCTGAATATAAGTTCCATCCCTCTTACCATTTCTTGGTCCATATGGGCTGCCAGAAATCATATTAAACATGAGAATATGGAGGTAAACCCTAGCAAGGTAGTGTTAAATTGTCTGACAAACATCAGGAAATCGATACAATGGAAAAACCCTCCTGCATATCAGCAGAACTGAGAGTAGATAAGCTACAAGATCATTAAGGTGATTTGGGAGAAGCCAAAACACCCCTTCATCAAGGTAAACACAGATGGAAGCTTCTCCACCAATAAGGCAGGCATTGGTGGAGTCTTCAGAGACCACAATGGCAAATGTTTTCTCAGTTTTCAAGCACCTACACATGCAAAAGATGCTCTAGAGGCTGGGACTTTGGCACTTTATTGGGCTATCAAAATTTTTGCAATGAATAGGTGGAAACAGTTAATTGCTGAAATGGATTCTCCCCAACTGGTGGAATATATGACTGAAAGGGCAGTCCCCCCATGGCACATCCAACAGTGGCTAATCAAGATGAAACAGCTATGTAAAGAGACAAAGGTGGAATTCTCTTTTATCTTCAGAGAGGAAAACAGACCTGCCAACTTACTGGCTATGGAGGGAGCTGCTTCACAAAAAATCATTATATCCAACAAACCCCCTGCATCCCTTGCTTGCCTGCTTAAAGGGGATACAATGCCATTTATAGAATATATATATATATATATATATATATATATATATATATATATTCCTTTCCCTGTAAGGCTATCTTTTTTGTGGTCAGGTCACCCTCTTTAGGTGCTTTATATTTTGGTTTCTAGACTAAGGTCCTTTCCTTTTTGAGTCAATTGTACTGTTTTTAACTGCTTAACATGTAGGGAGCCGAATAATGCTCCTTCAAGCAATATATGTGTGTTTCATCCAAACACAAATAGCTCTTAAAGCAAATGATATATATATATATATATATATATATATATATATATATAAGATTTTTATAAGTATTTATTTTGCCACTTCGTAACCAAAATAAGGTTTCCCTTAGACGTGATGGTTTGTAGAAATTATGCAATATAAATTAATTATAAAGTGAAATTATAAGCTATAACGAATGAATTATATTTGTTTTAAAACAAACAGTTTGTGAATTTTTAATGGTAAAATTTTCAAAAAAAATATTAAACATTTTTAATATCTGATTTTTTTTTTTCAGAAGAATCCCATTTGAAAATCATTGGGCGTTGTCTGCGCGCAGCTGGCCATCCTCTTTGCAGCAATGACATATTTCAGGCCGTCCACTTGTTTACAAAAAAAGAACTCCAGCAATCTAAAAAAGGCATCAAGAAAAACATGCCTTTAATTTAGTCAAGCTCTCATTATCTTTTATTCCTATTGTAGAGTCAAACATGCAGTGAAAGAGCTATTTTGTCAACAATGTTACTGTGAAAGGGAAATTGCTGCACATTCACATTGAAAAAATGGTTCCTCATGCAGCCGGCCTATTTCTCACAGCTAGACGAGGCGTTGATATTATATTGAATTTTGTATTCCATTTGAAATAACAGTGGTGAAGGAAGAATTATTTCATTGTGCCAAAAAGAAGAGAAAATATTATGTTCGGAGTTCGGGTGTAACTTAACGTCGAAGTCCTGATGCAATTTAACATCCGTAGCCCAATTGACTTTGGATATATGTTTGCTCGGATGGAAACAATTCGCGGGATGACAAATAAAAAGTTATTTTAAAAAGTTACGTATTCAAAAGCCCCCGTCCTTGCTTTCATTTTCCCTTTACGCATCCATTGTTTTTCGTTTTGGGTTTTTCGTCAAGGGTTTGCCAATTGCACTATATAAGTTACCGAAGTAGCATAGGTTTTAGAAGAAGGTTGGTGAAACTCAGCATCAAGTATAGCATCTAGCAAGGCAATTTAGTCAATCATTTTCAAGCAAGCTTTCGGTTTTGTGCTAAACTCAATGAGCTATTAATTACACGATATTTAGGGTTTTTTAGTAATACAAAAAGAGGTCACGAAGGCAAAAAACAATACAAAAAAAACAAGAGAGCTTCAAGATAAATAGGCAAAAAATAATAATAATAATAATGGATGGTTGTATTTATTGATGAATTTTTAATTTTTTATGATTTTGTTCAATCCCTCCCGACAGAAAAAATGGATTAATATTATGGGTGCATTATATTATTACTTCTGTTTAAACATTTGTAATCATATTTTGTTGTTGGGTACAATCTATTTTGCTTCAATTGTTCAATGTATTGCTTCATATCTCATGTTTCAATGATATGCAATCATGATTTATTCTTGAAAAATAATTTATTTGATTTCAAGAGGTTCATTTGGTCAATCAATGAGAATAAAACACAATATATTCATTTGTCTGATACAAATACTGTCATAATGTCACCAAAATACCACAAAAATGTCTCCACTATACCACAAAAATACCACTAAAGTACTGCAATAATATCACAAAAATATCATCATAATATCATCATACTACCACAAAAATCCCACCGCAATACCACAAAAAATACATCACGAAACAATCACAATACCACCGCTTGAAATCTTTTTAAATTGCAACTTTTAAACAAAGAAGATGCATAAAATCATAAGCTATTGTTTTTAAAATCAAAGGAGCAAAGGATATGGATCATTTGAATAGAAAACCATAATACCACCGCACCATAATACCACTATTTTTTTAAAATATGGTAACATTTTTTAAGTAGTAATTTTCAAATATAGAATGTGCATAACATTCAAGTCTACAGTTTTCAACAACAAAGGAGACAAAAAATATGATTTCTTTGTGTGAAAAATCATAATACCAATATAATACCATCACAATACCTATGCTTTTATTGAACTTAGTAACACTTTTTATTTAGCAATTTTTAAACAAAGCTTGTGCATTACCTCAAAATCTATTATTTCTCACATCAAAAGAGCATAAGCTATGGTTTATTTGTGTGAAAAACCATAGATCCAACACAATATCACTATAATAGCAACATTTTCTAAGACATGGTAATCTTTTTTAAGTAGTAATTGTCAAATAAAAAATGTTCAATACATTGTAGAATATTATTTCTCATATCAGAGGGGCAGAAACTATGATTTATTTATGTGAAAAATCACAATACAAGCAAAATACCACCCATTATCTAAAACTTGATAACCGTTTTTAAGTAATTATTTTGAAATAAAGAATGTGGATAAAATCATAATTTGTTATTTCTCACATTAAAAAATTTAAAAAATATGATTTATTTGAGTAAAAAACGATAATACCTCCACAATATCACTATTTTCTAAAGACTTTGTTAAGCATATTAAATAACAATTTTCAACCAAAAAATATGCCACTTGAGGATTTTAGCATATTAGCGTCAAACAATTTCAATGCTAAAATAATGATAATGTGAAGCAAAAAAGTTTTAGCGTCAGATTTAAGTCAGAACTTTGAGTCATGTAAAAGTCAAGGTAAAAAATGTAATTAACGTTGAAGGTGTTTAAGGCTAATTGCTTATGTCGGACTTAGAGTCTGACAAGGTCAATGTTAACCAGATATGATGCATCC